TGGAAGTCCGTAGTCTCTGCCTACCCCTCTGGGTGACAGGCGTGAAAGTTTATGTATGTATGTATGTATTATGAGGATAAAGAAAATACCGAAAAAGAAAGGCATAAATCAACACAATCTGCGTTATAATGAAAAACGTATTCTACCCATGATTAGTGAAAGTAAAAAAACATGGGGGTTACTCAAAAATATTGATGTATAATAAATTACCAAAAAGTTTAACCAGCCTACACTATAGCAAATTTAAACGGAAACTTAAGTATTTTTTGAGAACAACCCATTTTACGAATTAAGCGAATACATGTCAATGCAAGGTATGGAATCGTCATTCTTGTATAACATGCAAACAAAATAAATTACCTAATTCTATGACGTAAACGTCAATGTAACTAAATTAAGCTATACTATAGTACAATACATATAAAAATAACAGCTCACTTCTATAAGGTACATGTAGTTAGTACCTATTAAATGTCTACACACACTATGCAATAAGTATAATAAAACTGCAAAGAAACACAAACAAATTGAATAATTATGTCACTTGTCGTCAAAGACATTTAAGTATGTAGTATCTGGATGATCGAGCTTTGATCGGTATTTTTTTTTGGAAATCGTGTTTTTTGGAAATTATATTTAGATACAAATTACATACTGATGTAACATAAATAATAGTTTTCGATCTTACCAACATAATAAAAAAACCTGAACTGGTTAATTAAAAGAAAATCATGAGTTCAATTAGTTTTAATTTAATTTTTCGTGTTTTTAAAAAGAAATACTAAAAAAGGGCTCGAAATAATACATTTTCTCACAAAAGAAGGAAACTTGAAAAAAGTCGGGCTGAAGTCATTTGGATTCGAACCACCGATTAGGGACCGCCGATTTCTCATTTGAGCTATAGTAATCTTCGAAACACTAGCAAAATTTACCTTCGTATTTTAATGATATTGTAGCAGTTTTTCATTGCCCGAAAACACGGACAAAAAGACATCTTCTAAAAATAAATCCTCCATCCTCCATTTTCTAAAAATGAATTCAAGCTAGATCGATATATATATATATATATATATATATATATATATATATATATATATATATCGATCGATATTACAGGAAGACACTTCATTGCTCGCCCATTTCTACTTCGCAGCTTACCAACATGGAAGCCACGGTATGCAGGCTAGCTATGACTGGACATCAGTCCATCCTCATAGCCTCCTGTTACATCCCTTCAGGAACCTATCCCCTCAAAAAAGATTTTGAGACCATTTTATCTTTAGGCGATTCAGTCATTATGTTTGGAGATTTTAACTCCAAGCATACTGAATGGACATGCCGCACTACGTCCCCTAGTGGCAAGATACTGCTCGATATCACGCAGTCTCTTGATATTACCGTCCATAGTCCTCTCGGTGTTACTCACTTTCCCGATAACACCGATCACGCCCCCGATGTGTTAGATTTTGCGTTACTCCAAGGAGTTTCTCTCAACCTCAGAGCAATCGAGACACTAGACGATCTAGGATCAGATCACCAACCGGTCTCCCTCATTCTTGGCAATCAGCCACCTCCCCCAACACACACGAAAACCTTCACTAACTGGAAGGGATTCAAGGAGTCCCTAGCCAAAGCTTTGGACTCACAGGACTCTACCACCTCCCTACCGTCGGACTTAGATAGTCCCGAAAAAATCGACACCGCGGTCGATTCACTCTCCACCCTTATTAAATCCTCCCTTAAGGAGAACGAAAGGGTCGTCCCGGTTGCTAACAATAGTGGGCTTCCCCTACATATTAGCAACCTATTAAAAGCCAAAAAAGCTGCTTTCCGGAGAGCAGCAAAATACCCCACCCCCCGAATACAGGCGCGCGGCCAATCGTCTTCAACGAAAACTCCGCTTCCGCCTCTCTGAATTTCGAGACCTCGAAAAGAGTAAGCTCATGGAGAATATCTCTCCATCTCACACAGCGTACTATCAGATGGCTAGAGCCCTCCGCATAGACGCTATCACCCACACTCCCCCTCTCTCCCGTCCCGACGGCACGGTTGCCTTCGAGGATGAGGAAAAGGCTGAGTGCTTTGCAGATAGCATTGCCGCTCAATGCTCTCCTAGTTCTCAACCCGTCGAACCCTCTCACGTCCAGGCAGTGGAGGATGAGGTCCGCCGCCGGAACTCACCCCCTACGGCCTCCGAACCTATCTCTGTGTCCAATGATGAGATTTCATCCCTCATCAAAGGACTTAAGCCCAAAAAGGCTCCGGGCGCGGATAGCATCTCCAACCAAGCCCTAAAACACTTTCCTGAGCAGGTGTTAACCTTTCTATCTATTATCTTCAACGCCTGCTTCAACCTCAGTTATTTCCCCACTACATGGAAAGAGGCTACTGTGATTGGAATTCCCAAGCCAGGCAAGCCTCTCAACCTCCCCCTCCAGTCATCGCCCCATTAGCCTCCTCAAGGCAATGGGCAAGCTCTTCGAAAGAGTCATCCAAACGCGTATGAGGCGCTATCTGTTTCCCACAGACGGCGATCCTCTTATCATTCCCCATCAATTCGGCTTCCGAGCCAAACACTCATGTCCCCAACAAGTTCACCGCATTGTGGAATATATCCTCAGCGGTTTCTATCCTCGTCGTCATAAGACCATCGCGGTCTTTTTCGACATAGCTAAAGCTTTCGATAGAGTCTGGCACACAGGCCTCATCTACAAGCTATACAAAATAGGTCTCCCCGATCGTCTAGTTCGTCTCGTGGCCTCCTATTTAAAACATCGTACCTTTCGTTTTAGACACGAAGGCACGCTTTCTTCACAGCGAACAATCAAGGCTGGTGTCCCTCAGGGCTCAGTACTTGCTCCTCTGCTGTACATCCTGTTCACCAACGACATTCCCATCCCGTCGAAAGGTGTTCAACTCTCCCTCTTCGCAGACGACACTGCCATCTACTGCAAAGGTGTCTTACTACCCTTCATACGGAACAAGATCCAAAAGTCAGTTGATGACCTAGGAGCTTGGTTCAAAAAATGGCGCATCGATATGAACCCGGAGATGAGCTCCGCCGTTCACTTCGATTATAAACGACGCCGTCTCAAAAACACTCCACCAATACGTATGCTAGGGACCCCTGTCCCCTGGCATACGACCGCCAAATATTTAGGTGTCACTCTAGACACAGGGCTTACTTTCAGGCCCCACCGCCCTCTCGCTATCGTGTCCGCAGGTCGAGAAACTCTCTCTCGGACCCGCCTAATAAACTGTCCAACGACCTGAACTGTCTCCTGGCGGCTCAGGCCAACTCTAATTAAACTAAATTATTGTATTAACCAACTTTAATTTGCCTTCGTAGGCACTCCCTCAGCGGCTCTTAGCCGCCTGCGCCCTCTTTTCCCAAAAGAGGGTCGCTCATGATAAGGCACAATAGAGCTTAATCAGCCGGTTGCCTGTCCCCAAAGGCGGTTTTTAGAGGGTATCACTTAGGGTCCCCGGTAGGACAGTGAGCCCCTCATAACCACGATAAACCGGCTATCGTGGTATGCGTAATGCATTTTCCGCCTCCCTACGTATAGGGTAGCCCTTTAATTGCTTCGGGCGCAAAAAAAAAAACTCGTCTCGTCCGGACCGCGGTAGCGAGCGGTCTCGTCCGCCGGTCGTCGACTCCCGCCCGGGTGGGAGAAATACAGCGCGTCGCTTCGCACGGGGTGCACGTGCTGTGGGGCCAACTCGGCTTGCGTGGAGCCTCGAGGACGCCCCTGACCCCACCTAAAAAGATCACCTAACGCTGCGTTTCACCTACACGCTGGGAAGCGAACTCCGAAGGCCCGGTGCGCTGCTGGAAGCGCGCGCCTGTTGGTGACTTCAGCTCCGCGTCGAGATGCGTCTCCGCGGGACCTGGAGGTTGCTGACCCTTCGGCAGATTCCTTCCCAGAGGCGCGAGATACGCCAACTTCTGCCTAGGGATACCAGGCCATCACCTAGAGCCAGGAAGGAGCACTGGGGGCCCGGAGCAGCTGCTGTCCGGAGCGCACTTCTGTCGGCAAGATTGGCCCTGCGTCGACTCCTTAACTCGGGACTCCGCGGGACTTTGAGACGGCTGACCCTCCGGTAGCACCGACCTGGTGGCGCGCAATACGCCAATGAAGATTACCGACAATGTTGTACATGTACGGATCCCAAGACCGGCCTATAGATATGGGCTGTGAGGATTACCCGGGTAATGGGGTACTCCCCGAGGCCCGAAACCTGCATGGGATAAACAACAGTAGTCCCATAGTAGATGACAATACAAGTTCGCTCAAATCGCAGTCGCAGCACAGCCGTCGAAGAGGCAACAACAAGGAAAAAGGAAGCCGAAATCTAAGGAACAAGAAGCTACCTAGGAAAAAAGTGTTTTAATTGCCTCCTCCCGGCTGATCGTCTATCTCTCTTTCTCGAGGTCCTAGTGGGGTCGTATTATACATACGCATTCAGGGGTGCGTGGGACGTGCGTCACCAGCACTAAGCAAGGAACGTACGTGATCAAGTGGGAGATTATCCCAGGGCGACTGCGGGCACTGGACGTGTCCCTGCCGTTCGAAACAGTTGGTTCTTTCGAAATCCAGATCCCTGTTTGAAGTATATAGAAGAATCCGTTCAAGATGCCGGCAGGTCACAGAAGGATGCCCCCTCACGTCCCGGGTCCCGTCCCTCAGATAAGGACGCGACAGGTGAAATGTCGGGATCAGAAAGGGTCACGTCTGCGTCAGCGTCAGCATATTCAGGAACAGCAACTACGTCAGATTCTTCAGGCACTACGACCACAGTGGACACCACCACGACAGAGACCACGGTTGCAACTGCCACCACGGCGGCGTCCGAGGATAACGGATAGAAGGATGAAGCCGCACAGAAGGAGACGACCAAGAAGACTCCAGAGGATATTCCAGACAAGGGCGTTCATGGCTCTGCCACAACATTTAAGTCAAAGGGGGTGAGTCGTCGCGCCAGGTCCATGAAGACGTATGAAGCTGAAGCTAGCCCAAGCTTCTGTAAAGCTAATCCGCGTCAGATTAGAGCTGGCACAGTGTGAAGAAGAGGACTCCGTGGATGAAGACCAGGAAGACAGAACAGCACAGGTGCAGAACTGGATCGAGACATCAGTAATGGAAGAAAACAACATGGAAAAACATGAGCAACGAGGTCAGCAACCTCCGGAAGAGCCAAATGCGAAGCTTGAAGAGAACTGCTCAACGAAAAAAGATACGAGCGAAATTCAAGCGCTGACGATAGCGTCGAAGGAAGCCCTTACCACAAGAGGAGGACCAGTAGTTCAGCCAAAGTATATCCAGGAGCTACCCTACTTCGATGGAAACAGCAGCGAGTGGTTGGCCTTCAAGGTGGTCTACGAAGATACCGCCCCGATGTTCAACGCAGTCCAAAACATGGCTCGGCTAAGAAGAGCACTAAAGGGCAACGCAAGAGAAGCTATCAAGAGCCTGCTGTCCTCTGAAGCCTCTCCATTGGAAGTAATGCAGGCCCTCAGGAGACGATATGGAAGACCTGATGCGCTGGTGCTGGCTGAATTGGACAAAGTCAGGGCGTTACCAAAGATTTCCGAAAATCCAAGAGATATATGCGTCTTTGCGAGCCAAATCAACAACAGCGTACAGGAAATTTCAGTTTCAGTGAAGTAAATCGTAATTTTTAGTATTAAGTTGTAATAACTATTTATTACAAAAAACATTTCAGTTTTAGTTACACATTTTAGTCAATGTCATAAAAACTAGTGAACCGATTATGATGAAATCGTTATTATTCCCTAAGTTGAAATAAATGTAAGCAAATAATCCCTAACTTTAAATGAATAAAAAAAAAAGAATGATCGCGATCCGATTACTAGTTTCGGAGAAAAGCGTGGACAAACATACATACGTACATACATACATCTATAACATTTTGTTAGATTAGTTAGATTATCATAATATGTGAATATTTTGCAGTTCCAATAATTTTACATACATACGTGTCAAATAGATAATTTCTTTTTTGAAGTTGGCTAAAATTCAAACCGACTTACGCTCAACATGACATCTTGAAAACTACTGAAGTGATTTTTATGAAAATTGCACTGTTACCTAAGGTGGCAGATGCTTAATCTAATAAAAAGAATATTTTTTATAGGATAGGCTGACAAACGAGCACACAGTCTACCCGATAGTAAGTGGTTGCTGTGGCCCACAGACGTCTACATCTATCCTCAAATACGAATCAAAATGCAGATGCGTTGTCACCCGTTAGGGCTAATATGGAGTGCCTCGTTTCCGACAAAAAGGGTCTCCGGTTCTCTACACTCACCATACCAGACGCAGCAGCGTTGAGTTGCAATTTTACGCTGGTATTCCGTGAGAGCGTGGTCCTTCCCCGGTCGAGCCGACCCATTCGTGATACAACTATACTTTTAATATAGCTGCATCATGGATCTACCACATAACTACCCCGGTCGAATATTGCAATCGGACTCATAGTTCCTTAGAAATACGTGAAATATAGACATTCATCCAGATATGCATACACGCATAATCTTCATCATATTATTGGAATATTATGCAATTCCAACATTATTACAAACATACAGGTCGAACTGATAACCTCTATTTTTGAAGTCGGCTAAAAAATTTTTTGGTGACAGTTTATATTATTAAATATAACTATTATAATAATAATAATATAAAGCCTTTATTGATCCAAAACATCGGTTTCCGTTAGAAAAAAGTACATTAAGTATAAATATTATAAGCTAAATATGTCATGACCCCTTTCGGGTATAGTCCTCCTCCAGTTGCCTACATTTTTTCCTGTCGGTTGCTGTTACCACCCAGTTTCTTCCTGCTACTTCTGGTATGTCGTCGACCCAGCGAGCTGCTGGTCTGCCCTTTTTTCTTTTTTGCTCCAGGACCTCCAGGGCCCTTCCAAATGGTTGCTCGCTTGACCCATCTGTCTGCAGAGGAGCGGGCGATGTGTCCTGCCCATTTCCATTTTAAACGTAGTGCATGTTTCAGTGCGTCTATCACTTGGGCCTTTTGCCTTATTTTTTCACTATTTTCTTTATCTAAAATTTTTATACCGAGGATGCTCCTCTCATAGCCCGTTGACAAGCGCGTATTTTTGACATATTTTTTTTTGTTAAAGATCAAGGTTTCGGCACCGTATGTTAAGCAGGGCAGGAGGCTCGAATCCATCACTGTCTTCTTTAGTCTTATTGGGATTTTTGATTTTAATATTTCCTTGTTACTCCAGTATTTTTTCCACGTCATGTTAATGCGCCTTTCTATTTCGTCTAGGTGTCTTGTGTTTTGGAATGAAATTTGTTTTCCAAGGTATGTATAGTTCTCTACGTACTCCATTGTTGTTCGGTTTATTATTATGATATCTTTAGTGCCGTTGGTAGCTATCTTTGTCTTTGAGGTGTTAAGTTATAGCCCAATATTTTCGCTAACAGCGCTTAGTTCTATCAGCATTTCCTGAAGTTGTTTTGATGACTTAGCAAAAAGTACTATATCGTCAGCGAATCTGAGGTTACTGAGGTTATTCCCATCTATATTTATTCCTTTTTGATCCCAATTTAGGTCTTTCATTATATTTTGTAAGACAGCAATGAAGATCTTTGGTGATAGCGGGTCTCCCTGTTTCACGCCTCTACGAATATTAAATTCTTGGCCTAGCCTGTCCAGTTTAACCCGACTTGTGCTTTTTCTATATACATATATCCTTGATAATATTGATGTATGTAGAGTGAAGGTTCTGATGCTCCAATGCGTCCCAGATACTTTTATGCGAGATAGAGTCGAACGCTTTTGCGTAGTCAACATATGCTATATAGAGTTTTCCTGGTGTTCTACATATTTTTCAATTATTTGATCTAAGGTATGTATATGATCCATTGTTGAGTACCCTTGGCGAAAGCCAGCCTGTTCTACTGGTTGGTTCTTTTCTATAGTTGGCTCTATTCTTTTCTCCAGGCACATAGCAAACAACTTATAAATTGTAGGCAGTAGACTAACAGGTCGGTAGTTACTTATGTCCTCTGGATCTCCCTTTTTGTATATAAGAGTTATCCGTGACCTTACCCAATTGATCGGTATTTATTGTTTTTCAAGTATTTTATTAAAGAGAGTAGTGAGCGGACCTAACAGTAGATGTCTTCCTAGTATCAAAGCTTTGTTTGGGATATTATCGGCCCCAGGACTTTTATCTTTTTTCAATTTTTCGATTCTCTTTATTATTTCGGCGCTGTGAAAAGGTTGAGTTGTCTGATTTCTATCTCCTGTTTTTGAAGACTTTTCGTAGCTTTTATTATCGGCAGATTTATCATCGTACAGCTCTTCGTAGAAGTTTGAGGCAATTTTTACAAGGTCTTTTCTAGTTTGTTGTTCTTTTGGCTTATTTTTTGTCTTCAATGTTGGGATCCATTTTTTCCCTGTATTTAATTGTTTATATGCTTTCTTTTGGCTTCCAGTGGAGCGTAAATGTTTTTCAATTATTTCTATCCTGTAATTATCGTATTCTTTTTTAAGTAGTTCGTTTGTAATTTTGTATAGTTCTGAAAGTTCTTTTTTTCTTCTTTTGATTTGGAGGATTTATATTGTAGATCGGTGCGTTTTTTAATTAGATTTTTAGTTTCTTCTGATATTATTTCTTTCTTTGTTTTAATAGGAGAAGTATTCTTGGATGACTCTATCTTGAAATAATATGACTCTATGTCATCATTGTCTTCCCAGCTCAGTTGTTCAATTTTTGTTCTTAGGGCATGAAGGAATATTTCTTGTGATTTCTCGTCAGATAAGTTGGTTACTGGGATTGAATAAAAGGTAGCTCGGCTTTTCTTTTGTGTATTTAGAGTTATTGTTCCTCTCAAAAGTCTATGATCACTTGGGAAGGAGAGTTTGTTTAGGACTTCTATGTTGGTAAAGAGTTTTGAGTGATTACTCAAAATAAAGTCTATTTGGTTTTTGTTTTGTTTGTCTGGTGTTATCCATGTCCAAAGATTCTTGATTTTTTTTTTAAATATTGTGTTTATTATGGTAAATTTATTTTTAAGAGCATACAGAACAAGTTTTTTGCCTCTATGATTTCTCTCACCGTAGCAGTATGGGCCTATTATTGTGTTTTCTTCGAGTTTTCTTTTACCTATCTTTGCATTCCAGTCACCCAATAATATTACTTTGCCGGTTGCAAGGCTTCGGGCATTTTCTATTTGGTCATAGAAGGCATCAATCTCTTCCTCAGTTGCGTCTAAGGTGGGTGCGTAAACTTGTATAAGTGAAAGTTTCGTTGTTACAAAGTTCAAGTTCAGCAGACAAACTCTTTCGGATATGCCTATGTAATTTTCAATATTATTTTTGTATTTTTTCTTAATTAAGAATCCGACTCCATGGAGTCCTTTGGACTCCCCAGTGTGACAGAATATATGCTGAGCGTCCTCAATGATATTATTTACATTCCTTCTGACTTCTGCTAGTCCAATAATGTCATATTTAATGTTCTCTAAAGAGTATTGTAGCAGTAGCATTCTTTGCGGTGATAATAGGGATTTTACATTGTATGTACAAATGTAAAGGTTTTTTTGTAAAGATCTTGTTGTTGGCATGCTGGACGGTTATAGTCTAGAGCGCCTGCGGTGACAAGCCGTGTTGGGAGTTCGAGAGGAGGCGGCGTTAGTTGCTATTTTGAATTTTGATTAGGGAGGCTTCTTTGTGAATTGCCTGGTAATGTGAGCGTAGGTTTTTTTTATAATATAATTGCTTATGTTATTAGTCTTGTTTATCTTAGCAGGTTGTTTTTGGTTCTGTTTTTCTATGTTCATAAAGTTTGTTGTGTTTGTTGCCGTCTCTGGAGATTCTGATAGATTCATTTTTTTATTTTGAGTTTTTTTGCCATTCTGAATATTGTTTTTTATTATTTTCAAGTAAAATGATTTTGTCGTATTTTATTATAGCTCTTTTCCTTTGTCCTTTCAGCATCTCTACGTCTCCTTGGAGTTCTTTTCGTTTTTTGAGCACCTCTAGTGGGAAGTCTTCCTTTATGTAGTAGGAAGTTGTTTCCAAATTCTTTTTGTTTTTTAGTATTTCTATTTTCATCCCCATAGTAAGCAGAGTAGTTACAATAGGTCTGATTTTATCGCTTTTTTTTTCTAAGTCTTCTTACAGATTCTATGTAATGCTTTTCACATTTGATGTTCAAAATGTTGTTTATGATATCTAAAACTTTTTTCTCCAAATCTTGATAGCTAATTTCTGGCTCTTCAACTCCAAAAAACAGCAGGTTTTTTCTTCTATTGAACCTTTCAAAGTTATCGATTGACAATTTTTGTGTTTCCAATTTTTGCTCAAGTTGTAAGTTTTTGTTTTCCAAACTCTTAAATTTCTCATTTATATTATTGTTGATTGTGTTTTTAATGTCTTCTTTCATGGCTACCATGTCTACTTTTTGCTGGCTCATTTCATCTTGTATTTTTCTTAACATATCTTTAATTTCATCCATATTGTGTTTAGCGCCCTCTGTTGACGTGTGGCAGTATTAAGTAGGCTCGTAGGATTTCTGCTCGACTACTATGATTTATCGATATTGACGACGATATTAGCGTATTGCCTGGTTTCTAAAAATTCCGTTAGATGGCGCTTTTATTAAAAAAGTCGGTGATACTATTGAGTGGCTTGACAATACCTTGATTTTTACGTTATTGCATTTCTAACTTTTTATCGGAACTTAGTTTTCACTAGATCGTTCGTGGTTCTTCTCAGTAGACAGTCAGTCACATAAGTCACAGAATGAGTAGCTTGAGACAACTTCTTTTTATCACCATGAAAAATCACTTTGTTGTTATTGTATCTTTTTATCACTTTATCGTGTTTTAAAATAATGAACAGTTTATATTTTAACTTTCTTTCACTAATTTTACTAGTCTCTTATACTTTTACACTGGTTTTTCACTATATTTTTTACTTTTATGATTTTTATTACAAATTATATACGGAGCTGATGTTTATGCTGGCACAGTAGCGCCCTCTCTCTCGCTATTATATACAACTATTAGTCGCCATTAAAATTTTAGTCGACCGCAAAGTAATTTCCTTTAATATTTGAAAATATTTCTTT